CTTTCCTGTTGGAGATACAGGAACACCGGCTAGTGTACGATGGGTTTTCAGAAGGCATCAGGCCCCAGGCTCAGGCCCTCGGCAAGCTGGGTCTCCATCCCTCCTCCACAAGGTGATGAGGAGTGGATGATGCTGCCTGTTTTCCAGATGGTTTTTCAAGGCGTCCAGTTTTTTTTTTTTTTTTTTTTTTTTTTTAGAGCGCACACAGTTGAAGTGGGAAAGCCATGCCATGAAGGCCGGCGCCAGACCCCAAAGGGACGAACTGTCATGGGACGCTGGTTCTCTTCCACAGCTTCAGGGAAGCCAGCCTTCTCCCTGGGGCCCTCGAGGCTGACAGGTTCCTCTCCAAGCCCCACTCAAGTGGCTCCTCTCTGCTCCCCACTCCGCCACCCCGGGTCTGTGAAGTCCTCGAGGGAAGGAGCGCCTCTCTCTGTGCACGCTCTTGGTGCTGAGTGACGCTCGGGTCCTGCGGGAGAGGAGCCTCTGGATGAGTCGCATTGCATCAGCCGGCAGCCACGCAGCGCCCTTCCCTCGCCTTAGACATTGCTTAGTGCCAAAAGAGGTTTCGTGGTTCCTGCTGGTCTAGAGGAAAGGTTTAGGAATAAAACACACAGCCTTGGACAGCCCTGGACACCCCAGGGTTAGGAGCCTTAAGGAAAAAATGGGAGGAGAAGTGGTTTTTCAAAATGGAAAGTGTGATGCAGACAGAGCTGGACACAGAGCTGCTGTTTGCTAAGATCCGTGAGTGACTTAAGGCCCCTGAACACGCTGCGTTCTCTACATCCCTGCCCTGGAAGCCGTGGGTTCCGACTTCCGACATTGGCTTTGGTGCCTCTCGATATTTGAAAAACTTGATCCCAAAGGATCGATCCACAGATCTGAGAGCTGACTCCATGGGAGTCCCTTCAATGAACTCTCCGGTGGGGTGTGAGGATGTGACGAACCCCGAGGGACGCTTGGAGTCGGGTGGAATGGTCCAGTGACCAGACCCAGACCTGAAAGGCTACAGACCAGGGGGACTGTAGGGGACGGATCAGCCAGGAGAGGCTGCGCCCCGCCCAGGTCACAAACAGCCTTGATCTCCAGGTTTATGTTTAAACAGAGAAAAGGCCATTCCCTGTTCACGCTGTAGGCCTGTCACAGGAAGGCAGGGGGCTGCTGTTCACAGAAGCCCCCACGGACATGGCCCATGCAGTGGTCGCCACCTTGGTCATTTCAGTTGCTCCCCCACCCTCAAAAGGGAGCTTTGGAGGCCGCCATTTAGCAATTAGACATCCTAGCCCATTCTTCACTGGCTCATCCTTCACTGGCCGAATTAGTCAGGTGCCCCACCCGGCCGCAGTGGGGACTGATGGACGGGCATGGCGGGAAATGGTTGGCAAACAGCACCAGTGACCACCACCCAGAATAGAGAGGTTCCTGCCGAATCCTTAGTCACTCACAGAGAGCTGGGTTGAGGAAGATGCTAAGGTCAGTGGGGGAATGCGTGGCTGCCAACAGAGGGTGCCTGGGGAGGGCTCTGGCGGGGCTGCGGGCTCTGGTGGGGGTGCGTGCCCTGGAACTGCCTCCCCTGACCCACACCAACTCTCCCACTTGCTGATAAGAAAATGAGGGTGCAAGGCAGCAGCGGAGGGTGAGGCGAGAGCCAGGGTTTCTGACTCGCAGGCCAGTCTCCTCCCAACTTTGGTCATGTTGTTACTTCTAGGACTCAGCTGGAAAATCAGACAATTGAGGGTTTTAGATTTCCTGTCCCCGTTACATAGCAAGACTCTCTCCCCTCCTTAAGAAATAACACAGAGGTGCCAGCGTGTGGCCTCTTCCCTCCAATCTGGAGCTGCTGACACAAGAGTGTCACACAGAATGCCTAATCTGGAGCTGCTGAAATCCCTGACATAAAAAAAAAAAAAAAACACGGAGAGAAAATGTAACTGAATCTCTGTTGTTTGTTCACATAAGAACTCAGATGATCCTGTCTTTTATTCCTCAGTGCAGGGTCATGCGGTTGGCCACATGTTGGCATCTGGGTTTGTAATTCTCACCAAATGAGTCAGCAGAGAGATGAACATGGAGTTTTTCTTAACAGGCATCTTTGAGTCAGTGCCCACTACCATTTAAAAAAAAAATGCTGGAGTCCCCGCTTCCTCTCCTGTTACGGAGAGACATGGCTGGCTTGTTCCAATGTGTGAATGCACACTTGCTTCCTTTCTGGAGGGCGACCCGGGCAGGGTTTCAGGCACACAGGCGTGGACACAACGCACATGCACACATGTGTGCACAAACACCTTTGATGAGTTTGCAACTGAAAAAGTGTTTACATCTACCCCAGGCAGGAGCCAACACAGCTATAGACAGGCTCAGCTACAGCTCACCTGCTGGGTCAAGCCCTGAAACAACTGGTACCAAAAGGCCAAGCTCAGCCCAGAGAGGGAATCCTTCCATAGCTTCCATAGCTTATGTATACTAACATGTAAATGACTGACATCCATTTTTTTCTTTTTCTTTCTTTTTCCTTTGAATAAGTTTTGGTGGAGCAGGGAGCTAAGGGTCCACAAGGTCACAGATGGGTGGATGGTGGGGAGGGCCAAGGATGTAGGGAAAAGGAGTTGCTTTAAAATAAAGGAGAAGGCTGGGCATGGCACGGTGGCTCACACCTATAATCTCAGCACTTTAGGAGACCGAAGTGGGCAGATCACTTGAGGTCAGGAGTTTGAGACCAGCCTGGCCAGCATGGCAAAACTCTGTCTCTACTGAAAATACAAAAAAAGAAAAGAAAAAATTAGCCAGGCGTGGTGATGCACACCTATAATCTCAGCTACTAAGGAGGCTGAAGCAGGAGAATTGCTTGAACCCGAGAGGTAGAGGTTGCCGTGAGCCGAGATTGTGCCACTGCGCTCCAGCCTGGGTGACAAAGCAAGACTCCGTCTAATAAATAAATAAATAAACAAACAAATAAGAAAAGTTTTAACAGAGAAAGATACAGGATTAAAGACAGACTTTTGTCTTTTCAGACATGTATCAAGACGTGACTTTGAGCTCATCTTGACTTGGTCTGATGGGAATATATCAAAGATCTTTCTCCCCTAACTGCTGTTTCCAGCTTAGGGCTTCACAGGTCCCACAGGCTTTGTATCTGTTCCTTGGTTTCAGGCCCCCTTGGCAAATCCCCCAAAGCGCACTCTAGTCATCCCTCTTAGACATCCTTTTGCAATAGACGACCTGTGCTACCCAAACCAGACACTGTGCTTTTACGTGCGGTGTTTAAATGAAAAGCAACTTGCAGAGGGATGTTAGGGAATGAATGTGGAACCGGGGAGAAGAAATGGACAATACAGGGAATGACAGCTGGAGCCTTCTCCCTCTCTTCTCTCCAAGTCTCAGAATGCTGGAGAGGAATCTAGGAAGGGGTGCTTGGCCAAAACCGTACTCAGGGCTTCTTAAACCTCTGTGCCTTTTTCCTAGAGTACCAGGTTTCACAAGACTGAAAAGGTATTATTATTTGCAGGCATGAAAAAATAAAGTGGGAGTTGGGTTTGGCTAATATCACTCATGTTCAGTCCCTTCCCTGCTCCCCACGGAGCTCTGTGAGTTCACATCTCTGTATCTGATCTTGAAGAAAATATGCATCTCAGGGGCTCTGATATGCATCGCTGCTCACACATGTGTACACAAGCACACCTGGCCACGAGCCCATGCCAAACACATGCTTGCCAGGGATGCTGGCAGAGTTCTGTGGGGACAGCCCCAGGAGGCGATTGACCAGTGGACAGCCAAGGCGAGGTAGGGCACAGGTGATGGGAACCTCATTCACGGCCTTCTGCTGGCCCAAAGCCCAGTTCTTATCACTCTATGCTCTGAACAAAGCCCTCGGTGGATACTGCCCACCTATAGGATAAAGTCCAGGCAAGTGTTTCTCCCTGGCTTTCAGAGTCCAGGACCCAGCATCACACAGTGGCACTTACCATGACAAGCAAGGCCCCTCAGCAGCTGCCCTGCACCTCCAGCCCCTCTCCCATCCACTTCCCTATACTCTGGTCCGTTCACTGACAGGTCATAGATACCCTCTTTGAGCCTCAAGTAGCAGTAAACAGCATGTCCTCCTCGCAGGGGCACAGGAGCGGGAACAGGAGTAGTGCAGCCAGGGCCTGGCACCAGAGGAGGCTTGGGTCCTGGTACTGCTCTGGCTTCTCTCACCTTGGCGTGCAGGATCCCTGCCCAGATTCCTGGCGTAACTCTCAAAGTCCCACCCCTCCATGCTCCTGGGAGCACCCCCAACCACCTGAGCCTCCTACGGTGCCCCTTGGAGCCCAGGAGGCATCAATGTGCCTGACTGTGCCTTGCCCCAGAGCTGGTGGATCATCAGGTCCCAGCCACAGCTGTCCCTGAACATCTCTCGGCCACTGACTGAAGGGAGCTGGGGTAACTGTTGTCCAGGGCCCCCAGTGGGATTTGGGTCCAAATGCCCTGAATGACGCTGGTTGGGATCACATGCCCTCAATGGGCCCTTCCCTTCCCTGCCTCCCCTCCCACCCTCCTACAGGCGTGGCCAGGGATCACCTCCCAGATACACGAACCCTTGATCGAGAGTTTGCTTCTGGCAACTCAAACCAAGGCAAGAAATATTTTTTCTTTTTTTTTTTTCTTTTTTTGAGACAGATTCTCATTCTATCACCCAGGCTGGAGTGCAGTGGAACAATCTTGGCTCACTGCAACCTCCACCTCCTGGGTTCAAGCAAGTCGTGTAACTCAGCCTCCCGAGTAGCTGGAACTACAGGCACGGGCCACCACGCCTGGCTAATGTTTGTATTTTTAGTAGAGACGGGGTTTCACCATGTTGGCCAGGCTGGTCTCGAACTCTTGACCTTGTGATCCACCCCCCCCCCCCTCACCCTCCAAAGTGCTGGGATGACAGGTGTCACCCGCTGCACCCAGCTGGCAAGAAATGATTGATGGTAAAAAACAGCATATTTGAAATGCTGCCATTTCAAAAAAAAAAACCAAACCCAGAACACAGGATCACGTTCAGAGGAGACACAAAGTAAAGGCAGATGAGGAAATGAAGGTCTTGGGGGCTCATAGGCGATAACCACACAGCCTCCTATGGCGCAGTCCCCAGCTCTCCAACAGCAAGGACAGTCTGTGGTCATGTGTCCAGGCATCAGTTCTGGTCCCACCCTACACTGGCCTGGTTCCAACTTCTGATTCCTTCAGAAGGAGGTGATGGCCTTTGCTGCCATCTGTTAGTTGAAAGCGTGGGCGGCCCATCCACGCTGCCCCAGGGCACTGACAAGGCCCGGCATGGTGGGTGGTGAGCCTTGCCACAAGATGAGTCTGCAGTGAGTTCAAGCCAGAAAATGAGAGATCTTGATACGCTGTCCAAGAGTCTTCCAGGAAAGTGTGCAAGTGGAAAATAGACACGACTTCATGATGAAGGCTGGATATGCCCAGGAGGACGTAGAAAGAGGAAGCTGGCAAGTGTGCCTGGGGGAGAACGAAAGACAGAAAAGGGGGTGCAGTTTGCCTAATATGGTTACATTAGTTCATCGAGGGATCTTTGCAATTCTGGGTTTGTCTCCTGGAGGAAGAGGGAAATCACCTCTTTGATTTTGTACTCATTCATCTCCTGTTCCTGGAGAACCTCTGTTGTGTGTCAGGTGCAGCTGAGCCTCCCTGCATAGTCTCCGCTATCTTCCACCTACAGAGGAGGAAATGGAGCCTTAGAATCAGGGCCTTTCTCATTTGTAAGAAACACCTATGAATGCCCAGCTCCCCCTCGAATTTCAGTGCTGCGTCCCACCATGCCACACGGTGCCGATGAGCTGGCTGGACCTTCATAGCAATGGTGGCCCTCTAAAAATAGGATCCCCCACCCCGAGCAATGGGGCGACCACAGGAAGCAGCTCAGACCACTTCCCGGGGACATTCTTCTGCCTCCAGTAAGCTGGGGATAGAAGTGGAGCCGCGGACGGATGAATGGACTGTTTGCCTGAGTCATAAATCAACAGGGACCAGCCCTGCATCCGAACAATTCTGGTCTCAACACTTCGCTCCTGAACACAGGCCGCAGAGGAAGCAGGTCTCCCAGGCTGGGGCCGGCATCGGATCCAACGCTGCCTTTCCCTCTAGCAGCAGCTCCTGCAGGGAGGGTCTCCCTGTCCCTAGAACCGGAGCGTGAAAGTCAGCAAAGTCCCATAAATCGCAGGAAATGAACTTCTGCCTCTTTAAATTCCTGCCGCCGTCCCCGTCCCGCCCACAGCCACAAATAGATTTCTTTCAATATTGGCTCTGACCTCAGCCCTCCCCGCCCCCACGTCTCCTTCTCCCAGGTTCCCCCCCACCCCCGCCAGCAAACCCTACAAGGCAGAACTTACCCTGCTGACCTCACCAGCGTGGTTTCTTCTGTTGTGTGTCTGTTTTTGTTTTGCTGTGACACTGATGACTTGTGGTTTGCCTCACACTTTGTAGCGTGCGTGGCAGTCATATAAGAAAACAGCAAATTTGTCAGTGAGCCTTGTTATTTATTACAAGAACCACGGGGATGCCAGGCAGCCAGGCTGGCCCCTCTGCCCGCCACCTATCCCATGGCTGAAGGGGCTGCACTGGCCGGGGATGCCGGATCAAGGCCCCAGATGAGAGGCATGGCTTCCGAGGGTGACAAACGGCGAGGTCCTCGCAGCTGCCGCTGTTCGGACACAATGCTAAGGAGAGAATGCTTTTTGTTTTGGTTTTTAAAATTTCTTATTTCCATTGGCTTTTGGGGAACAGGTGGTATTTGATTACCTAAGTTCTTTGGTGGTGATTTGTGAGATTTTGGCACACCCATCACCCAAGCAGTATACACTGCACCCAATTTGTAGTCATTTATCCCTCATCCCCTTCCCACCCTTCCCCACCGAGTCCCCAGAGTCCACTGTATCCTTCTCAAGCCTTTGCATGGGAGGATGCTTTTAACTGGTAAAAGGCAAAAGTAGAAGTAACAGCCTGAGGCCTCTCCGTGGTCAATGCCTCCCAAGATCTCGAGAGCACCCCTTCTCCCGCCTCCCCTGCCACCTCCACCTAGGCCACACGGGCCACGCCGGCCCCAGTGCTCCTGTGCCACAGGCAGGACACAGTTGTGCCTCAAAACCCTACACCCAAGGTGCCTTTTCCCAGGCTTCCTTCCAGCTCACCCGTCACCTTTCTCTGCACTTGGCCCAGACATCGTCTTTGAAGTCCAGCATCCCCTGGACCTCAGCTTCTAAAATTGCCAAGCACCCGCACTCCAACAGGCCTCTTTTGCCTGGCTCTCCTCTGTACCTTCGTCCCCACCTGCGTTACTGATCTCTGTAACTTACTGGCTCCTTCCCCATTGAGGGTATGAGATGCACAACAATGGCTTTGTATCTTCGAGAAGCTCCAATGTATTTGCTGTTTATTATGGGCTGGGTTGCATCCCCCCCAAAGTCACATGTCAAAGTCCATCCCCCAGGATGTCATCATGTGACTGTTTGGAGATAGGGCATTTATGGAGGTAATTAAAGTAGAATGAGGTCACCAGCGTGGGAACTAATCCAGTAGGACTAGTGTCCCCATAGTTAGAGGAGATGAGGACACAGACACACACGGAGGGCGACCTTGTGAGGACACAGAGAGAAGACGGCTCCTACAAGCCAAAAAGAGAGGCCTTGAAGGAACCAGTCCTGCTGGCACCTTGATCTCAGACTTACAGCTTCCAGGACTGTGAGAAAATAAATCTCTGTCATTTAAGCCACCCAGTCTGTGGTACTTTGTGATGACAGCCCAAGCTAATGAATACAATGTTCAATAAATACTTACCAGATGAATAAATGAATGAATGAGCCAGGTGTGGCAGTTCACGCTTGTAATCCCAGCACTTTGGGAGGCAGAGGTGGGCGGATTACCTGAGGTCAGGAGTTTGAGACCAGCCTGGCCACTTGGCAAAACCCCACCTCTACTAAAAAAACCAAAAATCAGCTAGATGTGGTGGCGAGTGCCTGTAATCCCAGCTACTCAGGAGGCTGAGGCAGGAGAATTGCTTGAACCTGGGAGGCAGAGGTTGCAGTGAGCTGAGATTGCGTCTCTGCACTCCAGCCTGGGCAACGGAGTGAGACTGTGTCAAAAGAGAGAGAGAGAGAGAAAGAGAGAAAGAATAAAGAAAGAAAGATTGAAAGAAAGAAGAAAGAAAGAGAGAGGAAGGAAGGAAGGAAGGAAGGGAGAAAAGAAGGAAGGAAAGAAGGAAGGAAGGGAGGAAAGAAGGAAGGAAGGGAGGAAAGAAGGAAGAAAAGGAAGGAAGGGAGGGAGGAAGGAAGGAGGGAGGGAGGGAAGGAGGGAGGGAGGGAGGGAGGGAAGGAAGGAAGGAAGGAAGGAAGGAAGGAAGGAAGGAAGGAAGGAAGGAAACTAACTTATCAGATACTTCACAAGTGGGGAACCATTCCTGGCTGAGGCTTGGTGGACTTGGGAGGATATTAGTAATGGAGATGTTTTGCTCCTAAGGCTCCAAGACTGTTTTGCTTCTTCATTCTTTGGACACAATTCTGTGGCCATTCTACTCATTTTTTCAAGGATAAATGATCTCAGTGGTGAAATATTGTCATGGGTGAGCAGTGACTATCTGGGGCCAGCGGCTCGGGGTAAAGACCATTGCAGATGAAGAAAGGCAGATTTAGGCCAGGCACGGTGGCTTATGCCTGTAATCCCAGCACTTTGGGAGGCCGAGGCAGGCAGATCATGAGATGGTCAAGAGAAAAGGCCATCGTGGCCAACATGATGAAACCCCATCTCTACTAAAAATACAAAAATTAGCTGGACAGGGTGGCAGGCGCCTGTATTCCCAGCTACTTGGGAGGCTGAGGCAAAACTTCGTCTCAAAAAAAAAAAAAAAGAAAGAAAAGCAAATTTATTAAAGTAGGAAAATACATGGCAAGGAGACAACAGGCAGGCCAGCAAGAGAGGAGCTGATGGCAAGGAGACAAAGGCTTGCTGGGGACTTTATAGCGTGGTTCTTGTGCTGTGTGCTGGAAAGAGTGATGTGCAGTACTGATAACAACAAGGTTGTGGTTCGCTAACATGCATTTTTCTGTCAGCCAAGGGTCTAATGACAGCTGGACGCAGGAAGATTGTGAGTTACTTGTGCAGGATGACTGTGTGTTCTGGACCATGAAGACATGCAGACTTGGAGCTTATCTCCCTTCTCTTTTTGCTTTCCCTGGGTCCTGCCAGACTGACTCCCCCTCCCTAATTAGGACTCCACAAACCTCACCCAGACATCAAGTGTTTTCTGAGCACCTGTGCAGGGCTGTGGGTGACAGTCGATAATGAGGCTCATCTTCCTCACCGTCGCGTCTTTCTAACCGTTTGGCCGTCTTCCGGTGGTGGCTGCAACCACGTCAAAGGCCAGCATGGAACTAACCCATTGCGTTATGTTTTCATTCCTGTTTTTCTTTACTTTTCTTAAGCAGGAAGTGCAACTGGATCAGGGAGCCTCTCAGGGGCTCTAACTTTTTAATTCATCTCTGCGATTCTTCAAATTGTAGGTCATTAAACTATGAAGCCAACAGATACCTGGCTGCTTACTGGATTCAGGGCACTGGGATGCGTCACTGAAAATGCCAGTTCAGGGCCCCTCCTCTCCTGGAGCCAAAATTCTGGAGTGGGGCTGGGAGACCAGAAAGGAACAAATTAAACCAGCACTCACTGCTAAAAACAAGCATAACAAGCAGTAGTGCAATTAGATCAAAACACACAAATCAAAGATGGCTCAAGGGCTTTCCCGTGTTGAGAAGGGCTGGACCCCGTTGTTTGTGAGAACTCAGGTTTGAAACATCTGTGCTGAAGGAGGCTCTGGACACCAGGAGAGGTGAGGCGACCCTCAGTCCAGGCGGAGACAGGGAAAATGAAGCAAAGGTGTTTACTAAAACATACAAATAAGTCTGCAGTTTCCACGGCTTGGTCTGTCTGCCTGAGAGGTTCCCTAATGCTATGGCCTCCTAATATGCTCATTCTTCTCAATTCAGCCATTTGGGGGTCCTTCCATCCATCTGTCGCAGGGCTGCTCTCTGGGGAGCACCCTCCTCCACAGCACATTGAGACCTGCATGTACAAAAGCCAGGAGTGAACCACTGCTCACTGCACACAAGGGCTTTGCCGTGAAGCTGTGACTCACAGTGCTCAGAGCGAAGTGAGGATGGAGAACAAACACGTGCACGACTGTTTTAGGAAACTTTAGGCCTGAAACAGGTCCCTGAAACAACAGAAAAGCTGTGGGTTTCCTTCTCCTCTCCCCACCACCCCCTGCACGCGGCAGACACACAGCATGTGTCTGTTTACTTGCATGAATGCATGTCTGTATCTTGACCAAAAGTTAAGTCATATCTGAAGTCTTAGCCCAAGTTTGCCACAGGGCCATGGGCACTCGGGGACAAATTTAGCCTCTAGTAAAAGAGCAAAGTCTTCTGAGGCCAAACATTAAGCCACCATTTACCCAAGGACTGTATGGAGCTGGAAGTGAATACCACATTGTTTCAAACTCTGGTCTCATGTCTTTGGTGTGAAGTTTCCTGGTTTCAACTACCTCTAATGATATCCTTCCAGATGGAAGGCTAAGCCAACTTGATTTGGACCACATGTCACAGTCGCTGGTATGTGGCATGGTTTGGGAAGGCTCAATCTGCCCATTGATTGAGAGTGTTTTTAGGGACTCATATCACACAGGCCCTGCTAACCATTCTCCACCCACCTCCTCTGTGCTGCCGTAGGGAGGCTGCAGCCAGTAATTACAGGCTCAGCCACGGCTGGCTCTCACCCAGATGTTTACAGTCTCAGGGACACTGGATCCCAAATCCAGAGTGGTCACTGCAGACAGCAGAAGGAAGGAAGGCTCCAGCCTGATTTCCTAGGCTTCTGGATCCATGCTCATTGACAGGGCTTTTGTTCCCTCGTGGGGCAGACAGTCCAACAACTGGAGAAAACACTGTGGGATTTTAGCTTCCTCCTGCCTTCCAGGCATGAAATGACCCATTTCATGGGAAGATTTTAGGGCACTGTCCAGTAGGATCATGGTGGTGGGTGTCGTTTAAGGCTTCAGGGTATAAGGGGCCATCTGACGTAAGGAGAACTCTAGAGTTGGACCTCAGGGTGGGCTGGGGTTAAGGCTGGCCAGGTCTCTCCAGGATGGCAGGGCTTTAACTAGTCTCCCTGAGAAAGCCAAGGTTGGAAACAAAGCCTAGTCCCTGAAAACAAGGGGGAGAAGGTGGCATCTGGGTTGACACCACCCTTGAATTTCCATTTGTAATACAACTTTTGTTTTGTATCCACTAAGTCAACTGCCACGGTTTGAATGTTGTCCTCTCCCAAACTCATGTTGAAACTTAGTCCCCATGGTGACAGTACGAGGATAGGAGATCTGCCTCTGGTATTGGAGAGGTGGAAGCTTTGGGATGTGATTAGGATTAGATGAGGTCATGAGGGTGGGAACGAGCAGCTTTCCAGGGGGAGAAAGGGAGGGCTTGACTTGCAGGCTCAGCCCCCTTGCTCTGAGATGCCTGCACCCCCATGGGACCTTGCAGAGTCCCCACCAGCAGGAAGGCCCTCACCAGATGCCACCCCTTCTGGAGACTTCCAGTCTCCAGAACTATAAGAAATAAATTCCTGCACTCCCATGGGACCTTGCAGAGTCCCCACCAGCAGGAAGGCCCTCACCAGATGCCACCCCTTCTGGAGACTTCCAGTCTCCAGAACTATAAGAAATAAATTCCTGTACTCCCATGGGACCTTGCAGAGAGTCTCCACCAGCAGGAAGGCCCTCACCAGATGCCACCCCTTCTGGAGACTTCCCAGCCTCCAGAACTATAAGAAATAAATTCCTGTACTCCCATGGGACCTTGCAGAGAGTCTCCACCAGCAGGAAGGCCCTCACCAGATGCCACCCCTTCTGGAGACTTCCCAGCCTCCAGAACTATAAGAAATAAATTCCTGCACTCCCATGGGACCTTGCAGAGTCCCCACCAGCAGGAAGGCCCTCACCAGATGCCGCCCCTTCTGGAGACTTCCAGTCTCCAGAACTATAAGGAATAAATTCCTGTACTCCCATGGGACCTTGCAGAGAGTCTCCACCAGCAGGAAGGCCCTCACCAGATGCCACCCCTTCTGGAGACTTCCCAGCCTCCAGAACTATAAGAAATAAATTCCTGCACTCCCATGGGACCTTGCAGAGAGTCTCCACCAGCAGGAAGGCCCTCACCAGATGCCACCCCTTCTGGAGACTTCCCAGCCTCCAGAACTATAAGAAATAAATTCCTGCACTCCCATGGGACCTCGCAGAGAGTCTCCACCAGCAGGAAGGCCCTCACCAGATGCCGCCCCTTCTGGAGACTTCCCAGTCTCCAGAACTACAAGAAATAAATTCCTTTCCATTGTAAATTTCCCTGTCTCAGGTGTTCAGTTATAGCAACAGAAAACAGACCAAGATATCAATTTAATACACAAATTTCAATTTACCTGATCGTTTAAAAGTGTAGAGAATCCCTTTCCATGGTGTTTCTCGCTATTCCTTTTTGTACTTTTAACAAATTTTTGCTTCTTACAAAAATGGTAAAGCATGTTGTTTGGGTAATTTGTGACGGGTACTTTGTCATTTTTTTCTCCCTGGGTACGCACATTATTATTTTTTTATCCTGAATTTCTAGAAGTGCAATAGGACTGTCGTATTATCCGTTGAGTCTGGGGCCACATGTGATGTTGCCATGTGTGGCCTTGAGCCTCTCCCAGCCTCCAGCCCATGGTAAAACGCAATCATTACTCAAGGAAGGAAGAAATACATGCACATCCAAGTGAAGGAACAGCCTCAGGAGTTTCGGTTTCCATGTATGTGGGCTCTGAGTCAGGCCAAGGGGAGTCAGTCACTTCCACTCCCTCACTTACCAACTGCGTGACCTTGAGGACCGTGGTCTACCTCTCAGCGTCCCTCAGATGTCCACAGGACATTCACTGAGCCTGCTGGGCTGTCGTGAGAACTGCCCTGTGCAGGGCTCTGCACAGAACTGGGCACAGCAGCCGCAACCCCATTCCACACCATGTGCTACATGGCTGTGCCCGGGTCTCTCTGCCCCATACAAGGATATGGGTCACAGCCTGTGGATTCCCTATCTGCTCACTGCACACTCCCCCACACACCCAACCTTAATACATTTTGCTGAATTAATAAGCAAGGTCGTCAAGTTCTCTCCTCTTCCCCGCCTCCCTTATCTGTAAGGAGGAAACATTGACCAGCTTTGGTGCTGCCCCTGTTCTCAGGGGGAGCAGTGGCTGCTGTCTCACCACCAATCTCTAATGGATACAGAGAAAAGAGTTACTGATTGACCTTTTTTTTTTCCCTGCTTTGCAATCTCACTAAAGCATTTCCTTTCCCTACCCCCATGCAGGAAGGCAAGAGCAGCATTATTCAGTTTCCAAAGTCTGAGCTCTCCTCACACCCACAGGACTGGGGCCTGCAGCCAGTTGGGTGGGGAGGGGGGTGAGGGGTGGGGGAGGGTTTAACACTTGCAGTGCCCCGGCGGTGGGTGACCTGCGCGCTCTCTCTCCCACGGAAACACGGAGGCCTGCAAGACGGCGGAACTGCAGAGGGGCAGGACACACACGGACGCCGGGAGACGCAGGAAGAGAGTTACCAGATAAAATAGGAATGCCTTTTTAGTATAAGTGTATCCAATGCAATATTTGAATTTCAGATAAACAACAAATAATTTTAATATCTATGTCTCATGCAATATTTGAACTTCAGGTAAAAATGAATAGTTTTTAGTATAAGTAGGTCTCTTGTAATATTTGAATTTCAGATAAAAAAAGAACTATTTTCGCATAGAATAGGTCCTGCAGAAGTAAAAAACCTTTTTCATTGTTATTACGGGTTGAATAGCGTCCACCAAGAAGTTCATGCCCACCCGGAACTTTAGAAGGTGAGTCTATTTGGAAATAGGTTCTTTGTAGAGGTAATTAGTTAAGACGAGGTCATATTGAAGTAGGGCGAGCCCTAAGTCCAGTGACTGATGTCCTCATACGAATGACATGAAGACAGAGGAGAGACGCGCAGGGAAGAGCCCGCGCGTCTCAGAAGCAGAGGCTGGAGCAATGGGGCCACGAGCCAAGGGACACCTGGAGGCCCCAGGAGCAGGAAGAGGCCAAAAGGGGCCTAGATCCTCCCAAGGGAGCCCAGCCCTGACACCTTGACGTTGGTCTTCTGGCCTCTAGACTGTGATAATAAATTTCTGTTGTTTTAAGCGCCCCAGATTGAGGTGATTTGTTACAGCAGCCACAGGACATGAATACAATTGCTTATGTAAAATGCACATTTAATTGGGCATCCTGTATTTTTATTTATGACTCTGGCAGGTCAGCTGGAGAATGGCTCCCAGGGAGGAGCTAAATGGCTGGCTGGCCTCCCACGGCTTCCCGCTGCTCTTCCTGCCCTAGAGTTTCGGTCGGACATTCCTGCGGCTCTTAGCAAGCTCTGGCCGCCCCTCCACGCACCTGTGTCGTCAACAGCTCCTCCTGACGGGAGATGTGACTGTGCACCACCGTTGCCTCCACAGTGAGACCCTGGTGGAAGGAGCACCAGACCCCCTCCCCCAAATATTTCTGATGGCTTGAGACCCCCTGAGGCCCTTACCATACTCTGGAGGATGTTAAGGATCTCAGCCCAACCCCCTAAAAGGGTAAAGGACCAAAATTAAATCTCTTGAAAACCCTGATGCATGGGGCTGGGCAGGAGAGAGGTGCAACTGGATTGAGGAGAAACTGATAATAAAGAGAATTTCTCGTACTTTCAAATGTCATGGGCTGAATTCGTTCCCGCTGCAGCTATTACAGCATGTGCCAGAGTGATTCGTGCCTCCTGGTAGAACATTTTCCATTTTCTCCTTCCAGGAGTGAAATGTGAACCTCCTCTTCCCTGTCCCGGGAACGGTGGCGACCCTGGCTCCTGGTCGCCCAGAAATCCTCAGGCAGTTCCCAGGCACTGACACAGAGGCCTGGGTGCCGCTCCCCCAGCTTCCTGCGCTGTCGGGATGCAAGAGGAGGCCGGCACTGAGCTCACCAAGCAGCTGAATAAATGCGCACGTCTGCGGGGAAATGCTTCCTCACATCTAATTGCCTGGTGATTAGGAGACCACCCACCGTCTGAATTGCCCTCGATTTGTGAAGAGCCCTGGCAGCTCTCCTGCGAGATTCAGCGTTCAAAAGGAGGAGGTAATCATCTGGAATTAAATTCCTGGGTTCCTCATCTGTCCTAGACTCACACGAGGGCCTGGCAGGCTGCGCAGTTATTTACCCCGTTCACCCCCGAACCACGCACAGTTCACACCAAGCCAGCAGAGCTACTGCCATGCCCCAGCGCCAACAGCGCCTGCGTCCTACCCGGAAATCTCACCGTCTTTCCTACAGCAAAGCAACCATTGGTGCCCAAACATAAAGGAGCAAAGAGGTCCCCGGCAGCCTTGCCTGCGACAGCTCCAAACTGGCAGAAGTCTGCAGAAATGCGCGCTACTCAGAAATGGTCAAACAATTGCACCTCCCAACCATACACCGCAGTTTCGGAAGGAGGGGGCCCACTACATGCTTACCGGAAAGAGGCTGATGGCATTTTCGAAAGTGAGCAGCAGATTAATAGACTCCAAACGTTTCTGCAAATGAAAAAATCGCAGAACTGAGTATGTGTTTAGCACACATGCACACACACACACACACACACCCTGACTTGATTTGACAGCCAGGTAGAACCACGCTGGCTCTGACGTCTGCCTGTTTCAAGGTCCTCCTCCCCAACTCACTATTTCTGCTCACTTTTTGGTGTTTGGTTTTTTAAAGTTATTCTGTGCATGCTTTCATGTCTGTGAAATGGGCGCAGCGGCAGTATCTCCCTGCAGGTTGGCTCTGAGAACTGAGAGAGACGGCACCAACAGTGCTCAGCCCAGCGCCTGGCTCTAGTGAGCTGCCCTGGAGATCCCCGCTCCAGAAGTACCTTTGTCTATACTATTTTAAATTAGTTACAAGGTGGAAGTTTCATCTGATAATTTTTAAAACTGACTGATGTCCATCAACACTTTTTTCCAAAGCTCATTGAACAGCAGAAATCCCCACTATAACTCCTTTATCAGTGGCCAAGAGAATAACTGGCTATGTCTAGAATCTACGGTCCCATGAGCTCTGAGACTTGGGCTAATTCTTTCTTCCTTTGCTCAAGGGACAGAGGGGATGTCCCCACCATGGTATTTCATCTTGGGACCTCAGCCAGGTCTCTGAGTCCTTTTGGCATCCTTGATGGTGGTGCCCCCACTGGCAGTTCCCACAGATCATCTCCTGTTGATATGATATGTGGACAACACCAGGTGGAGAGGCACCATTCGCAGTCGTAAGTCTTTGCTTCTTGGATGTATCACCCTATTTCTAATCTGGGATCGATGGGGCTTTAATGACCTCAGTGCCATGAACATAAACAGCTCCTTAGGACTGGATGTCTCGCAAGTGCCCCGTCGCCCTGCACAGCAGCAGAGTCTGAGACGGAGGTTCATCACAGCCACACCTGCCTGGCTCCGACAGCCCCTCCTCTATCAAAGCTCCAAGCATCCCATCACCGCCTTCTCACATGTCACCTGTGAGAATTGGTAGGGTCCCCTCTTTATTTTAGCCTCCTAACACCTTCGCAGATGGAGAGATTCCCACAGACTAGGGATTTCCTGACATCACTCAGCCCCAAACAGCTGAAGAGCTGGACTTTGAACCCAGATCCTGAAATCCACGTTCCATCATCTTCTATATCAGAAATGATACATCATCTAAAAAATGTGTGTGGAGGGCCACTTCAAGCACTGAGCTGGCTGCTAAAAACTGTCAAAGATGTATCCTGAACTTGAACCTGCTTTGGAAGAAAGTTCAGATTCATTCATGTTTAATAAAAATCTACTGTTTTCCCCATTTGCTAATCTAATCTCTGGAGGAAGTTGGGAAAGGCATCTCCGAAGGTGCCTGACTCCTCTTTGGACCTAATTGGGAGAATGTGGCTTCCTGCAGAGCCCCGAGGTGACAGTCCCTCCCCCATAGCACAGGGCACTTCCAGCTCCATCCTCCCGCTGCAGCCAGCGCCATTTTAGTGAGCTTTTAAGGCTAAGTCTCCCTAAATCGCCCTGCTTTTCCATCTTTAAAAAAAAGTGAAGGAGGGTGCCTGCAGAAATGGATGCAGCTGGAAACCATCGTTCTCAGCAAACTATCGCAAGAACAGAAAACCAAACACCGCATGTTCTCACTCATAGGTGGGAATTGAACAATGAGATCACTTGGATACGGGAAGGGGAACATCACACACCAGGGCCTATTGTGGGGAGCAGGTAGGCAGGAGGGATGGCATTGGAGTTATACCTGATATAAATGACGAATTGATGGGTGCTGACGAGTTGATGGGTGCAGCACACCAACATGGCACATGTATACATATGTAACAAACCTGCACGTTGTGCACATGTACCCTAGAACTTAAAGTATAATAATAATAATAATAATAAAAAGAAGTAGTAATTCCTAGAAAACAGAATCGGCGTTCTGGGTAGGGGAGGCAACCCCTCTGTGGTTTTCCTTGAATAGGCGCTGCTGTTGGTGTTTAAAGTTGTCAAAATGCTTCATCCTTTCCCTTTGATGTAACGCAGACCCCAAGATGCCAAGATGCCGAGAGTCCTCAGGCTGGGACGGAATATTTACTTCGTTCATTATGGGATAGAGTTGACTCCAAGCGGATGGTCGGTCCCTAAAATGCCCGTGGGTTTTGCAGGCTCTTTTTCTTTCTCCTCTAATCATTCGTTGAGTTCACACAACTGGATTTCTTCAGCCTTCCCAAGCGGCCTTTATTGTACGAGCTCAGCAGGTGCTTCCAGTCCCTAGGACAGCTGTGCCTGCCCCAGAGCTGTGGGCACACTCCTTGTCCCTGTCTGCTGGGCAGCTGGCCTTCTTCTTCACCAGAGCTGAGACCTGCAGCAGGGGGTGCCTGGAGAAACAAGAGGCTTTGGAAGCGTCAGGTGACAGGGCCTGGCTGTGGTTTACATTTTTCACCTTAATTTTAACAAGTATTTCAACCCCCTGGAAAATTGCTTCTCTACAATAATAAACAGAACCTGCAGTGAGTCTGCAGCAGGCTCCCAAGCCCGGGCAGGGCTGGGGATCATTCCCAGTAAGCTCTGGGAGACCTAACAGTAGTCAGGAACACACGCAGGCAATGGGGAGGGCTCAGAGGGGCTGCTTCAGCCCAGTTGGCCCTAATTTAACGGAGGTGCAGTGGCGTTGGTGTGGCAACCTAAGGTTTTGAGTTACACATAAGCAAGTCAAATAGCATATAAATAATAGAGGTAGCGTGTTACAGGGGTAAAAGGGACCAGTGTCTGCTTGCCCGTCTGGTCTGTTATTCATCAAGTCAGTGTGGTGCCTTCTGTGGCTTGTTCATCTCTGTTCCCAGCTCCAAAGTTAGCCAAGGGCCTATTGACAAGACTTGGAAAAAGATGCTGAGATCCTTGTCCTGAGAAACAGGGCGTTACCATGGAGACACCATTCATTCATGAGCATTCGTCAAGCACTTACTATGTGCTTAGCAAAGGGGGTCTGGAGTGAATGGAAACTCAGTGAAATATGCCCCTTCGAGCCTCGCCTTTCAAAATGTGATCCACGACTAGCACCATCTGCATCCTCAGAAGTCTCTAGAAAGGCAGTATCAGGCGCCACTCCAGACTGCAGAGCTGGAGCTAGATTTTAACAAGATCCCCCAGGCCATTTGAGTGGGCTGTGAGGTTTGAGGAGCATTGCACTAGGCACGAAGAGAAGATCTAGGAAGGAAGATCTGAGCGGCCCCAGTGGAGCAGAGGTACTCTCCGGTGGTGTGGGGGGCAGCCAGGGTGCAGGGTGGGCTCAGCAGTGGCCGGGGCGTGGGAGAGCCTGGCTGGTCAGTGCCAATAACCATGATGCAGGACAGCCTAGAGACGCATGTCTTTCCCCCTGTGACATAAACAAGGTAACGGCCACCAAATGATGTCCACGTCCTAATCCCTGGAACCTGTGAATGTGACCTTACCTGGCAAAGGGACTTTGCAGACAGGATTAAGGACCTTGTGATGTGAAGCTTTTCCTAGATTATACTCACAGTGGTCTCCTGTGAGAGGGATGCAGGAAGGTCAGACAGGAGAAGGTGAGGGGGTGACACGAGCAGAGATTGGAGTGGCGTGGCCACAAGCCAAGGGGCGTGGGCAGCCTCTGGAGGCTGAAGGGACAAAGGTGGGTCCTCCCCCAGAGCCTGTGGAAGAACCAGCACTGTGGACATCTTGACTTGAACCCCATAAGTCTCGGTTTGAACTTCTAACTTCCATTACTATGAGAAAATACATTTGTGTTGATTTTAAGCCCCTGACTTTGTGACAATTTGTTACAGCGGCAACAGGAAATGGGTACTCTCAACAGAGATTTTCAGGTGATGCCCATATAGAATTAGTCTCTGCTTAGGGAAGGGTCCAGCATCCACCTCTCTTCACTTCTTAAACTGGTCCTGAGATCAGCCAAACTCAGGGACCACAGACCCAGGCTGCTCACATCCCCATTTTTGAGGGGCACAGAAAGTTCTGGAAGGAATATCTCAAGTGGTGTATGTGAGAAATAAAAGCGTTAAATAACGAAGCCTCCAGGTTCTGTCTTACGCCTCCTCAGGGCTCACAAAGCTCCTAGTGCTGGGTTCTGCATACAGTTGGCACTTAATAGAGCATCTGCTGACTGAGGTCACATGAGCATCCAAGCTGAGCCCTCTGTCCCCTCCAGCCCTCAGAGCTGAGGGCTCTGATCCATGGAGCCTTCTGTCCAAGAAACAGTCTCCCCCCATCCCCTGTTCGCTCTTCATATGCTGGTTTCCTGAGGTTCTACTCCAAGTCTTCTCACGTTCCTCCTTCCCTGGGAATCTTGTCCTAAACCACCACACTTATCACCGCCTCTCTCCCCAGCCTGCTGCTCTCTCCTGAGTCCTGACCAGCTTGAGGTCCCTGCCTGGACTCCCAGCACCATCTCACCTCTCCTCCTCACCCATCTCCTGCCTGGTAGTCCCCAGGAATCATTTCCAACTCATCCTTCTTTCCACCTTCCATCCAGTCAGCACAGGGACCTGTCAGTCACACTCCCCAAATGTCTCTTGGATCCCGGCATCACCTTATCACCACCGCCCTGCTCCTGCACTCCCTGCCTGGATGCTGGTAGCCGCTCCCAACTGGTCCCCCTGCAAGCTGTGATGTCCTCCAACCCACACCTGATCACAACCAGCTCCTCCTTAAATGACTGTCCGTTGCCCTCAAGAGAAAGTGCAAACATCCCCCGAGATCAGCACCTGCCTTCCTCTCCAGCCTTCCTCTCCCACAGCCCCCTCCCCACGGACTCTTAGCTCCTAGGAATCCACTCAGAGATGTTTAATGCAGGGATACCTGTTTATGCTATAGGAGGTTTTGTTCTTGTTCTTATCTTCCTTCAAATTGTTATTCTCATTTACAAATGGCAAGTGTCTCCACCCAGTAAGAAGTAAACTTCTGCAAAATAACTGTAAGCCATCAGGTACACACAATGTAGCAGGAATCATGCCCACTAATTTACATAAAATGCCTCATTTTAGGCTGAACACTCCAAGCTTCTTTCAGTTCCTAGGCAGGCCATATTTTCTTTCTCCTTGGGGATTTTGATCTGCAGTAATCGCCAGTGAAAGCCTCCTCCCCAGCCCCACCTCTGCCAGGCCGACATCTACCTGTCCTCTGGATCTGGAATCCATGGTCTCGTCCTTGAGGACAAGGAGGAGTTCCTGAAATTCGCTCTCTTTGCACCCTGTATTTGCCCCTGGATTTTCCCTAAGAGGAGGACACGTACCTGTTCTCTCACCAGTGGGAAAGCGTGGTGAGAACCCGTTCTTCCTGCCCATCTCTCCTCTCTCCACCTCAAACCCTCTCTCCCCCAAATAAAAAGGAGGAGTCGTCATACAGCTATTTTGGTTTATTATTTTTTTTATTGTTTGAGATGGAGTCTTGCCCTGTCGCCCAGGCTGGAGTGCAGTGGCGCGACCTTGGCTCACCGCAGCCTCTCATGCAGCTATTTTGAGCAGTGACGTCTGACACAAGTGCACGATCACTTGACTCAGTGTCCTAGAGGCGAGCTCTGTTCTCTGCCTCTTCTTGGAGCCGCTCCCATCTTCACTCTTAAATGTTCAGCACCTCAGCCTGCACCCGGACAGGTAAGCTATATCTATCCTTCCTGATGAGAGTCCAGTTACTTTCAGTTCTGGCAGAGACAGGGAGAAGACAAGGGAAGCACAGGCTATCCCAGAAAGCTGTCTTTCCCAGAGACCTTACGTTGGATGTGTCAACAACCCCACTCAAGAATGAGGTTTCCATCCTCATCTTGAGATATACATATTTTTAAAATTTGCTTATTTATTGACTTATTTGCCAACCGTGAGAAACTAAACAGGAGGAGGGGGAACTTGGGCACCCTCAGTCTTTGTTAAAGCTTGGATGATGATCTCTCTTTTTTACTAGACTTAAACTTTCATCAACACAAGATATCAGTCTCGCTCACCACTGTGTCTTCAGCAGGTAGCACAGGCCTGGAATCAAGTAGGTTAACAGGCTTCGCCGAATGCGTTGATCCAGGGTCCCAATCAATTTAAGCAAACAACTTCTCAGAGGGCAGATGACCCCAGAAGTCCCCAACCACCAGGCTGGACCTGAACCTGTGACCTACTGGAATATTCCACTACCTACATCCACCCACCTCCCCTGCCAGCAAAAGCCAATTTGTAAAATTACCCAACAGTCCAGACAGACAAGCACAGGGATTGTTGGCAGGCGCTTTTGTGCCAACATGGCATGAAATACCTGTTTTTAGAGGACCCGGGAAGGCCATCTCCGTGCTGTGGGCTGCATCTTCCTGCTCCCTTGAAGGTTTCTAAACAACCCACTGGCCCAAGGCCAGGGAAAGTAAATGCATTTCTTCCCAGATATGTGTAAAAGAGGTTTAGGGTTTGGGATCTTTGGATGCAACAGGCTCCGCCTCATTTCTTTTTTTAAGTAGCATTGGCCGCCTCATTATTAAATGGGAGAGGATAGGACAGTGGTACCCATGTTGTGGGGCTGCATGGAGGCTGAGTGGGCATAGTGAGAATTTGGACATGAAATGTTGGGCACATGCTGCTGTCCATCATCTGTTCACACTCATCATCTTCACTACCACTTAGCTCCCCCCAGCACACACATCCCTACCTACAAGCCCTGTTGTAATCACTGCTTTCAGGTGAGGAGACTGAGGCTCAGAGAAAGGAATGAACTTGCCCAGGGTGGCACAGCTTTTCAGCAGATGGAACAGAGCCTTAACCCTCCAGGCAGTCTGATGTTACACCCAGGACCTTAATCTCTGCCTTGGTCTAGCGTGTTGGGGCTGAGGGTGCTGTGCTGAGACTACAGAGCCCCAGGTTCAAGTTCCAGCGTTAGGCAGCCTTGAGCAACTCACCTTACCCACCACCCCATGCCTCAGTTTCCTCGTGCATAAAATTGGGACTCTTTTAGGCAATGTGAAGACTTCTCCCAGCTCTAACAAGACCCAAACCCAAAGAGGGCTGCGGATATCATGGCCTTTGTTTTCCAGGTTCGAATGTGCCCCCCAGATCTCCCTGCCGTGCAATTTATGGGACAAACCAAGTCACGTCTTCTTATTGGCCCCATGCACCCGTGGGATCAGCAGATGTAACATTCTGACATCACACTTAGAAAACTTCCCCCATCTGGATTTCTGCAGCCCACAGGAGTCATTTGCCAAACATTTTACAAAACATGGGCCCACTGTACTCTGACTTGTTGTGGAGCCGATACAACCCACCTTTTCCCCAAGCACGTGACTCTGGCCCATGCATGCTGTCTGGCTGGGAAGAGAGATGCAAGACTACTCATGTCAGGGGCAGAGGGTGGCAGCAAATGTGCAAGGTCACACATTGCTAAAAATGTAGGCATGCAACGTGTTGATAACAGACACACAACAGGGGTCAGTGTACAGTGGAGAAGAATTCTAGCATCAGGCCAACTATTGCTGTCGGGGGAACATTGAAAAGCGTTTCCACATATCACCACTCGCTTTTCCAGATGACATTCAAGAGAGGAAGAGGCAGCGGACATCACTGTGGCCAGTGAAGTTAGGAGGTTTGGAGGCTCCAGAGTCATGACAGATGTTTTGAACATTGTAGCCAAACCCCTCCACGCAGAGGTTAAAATGCCCACTTTCTCTGGAGCACAACTTTTTTAAAAATTATTTTTTTAAATTGTAGTAAAATATACATAACATAATATTTACCGTCATAACCATTTTTAAATGTATAGTTCTGTGGTGGTAACTATATTCATACTATTGTACAGCCATCACCACCATCCACCTCCATAACTTTTTCATCTTCCTAAGCTGAAACACTGTCCCCACTAAACGATAACTCCCCATCTCCACTCCATAAGGCCCTGACAATCACCCTTCTACTTTCTTTTTCTTCCTTTCCTCTCTCTCTCCTTCCTTCCTTCCTTCTCTTTCTTTCTTTCTTTCTTTCTGTCTCTCTCTCTTTCTTTCTTTCTTTCTTTCTTTCTTTCTTTCTTTCTCTCTCTCTCTCTCTCTCTTTCTCTCTCTCTCTCTATTTCTTTCTAAGTTTCACTGTTGTTGCCCAGGCTGGAGCGCAATGACACGATCTTGGCTCACTGCAACCTCTGCCTCCTGGGTTCAAGCAATTCTCCTGCCTCAGCCTCCTGAGTAGCTGGGATGACAGGCATGCACCACCACGCCCAGCTAATTTTTGTATTTTTAGTAGAGACGAGGTTTCATCATGTTGGTCTGGCTGGTCTCAAACTTCTGACCACAGGTGATCCACCTGCCTCGGCCTCCCAAAGTGCTGGGATTACAGTCATGAGGCACTGCGCCTAGTGCCTTCTACTTTCTGTCTCTATGATTCTGCCTACTGTAGGTACTTCATCAAAGTGGAATCATACAGTGTCTTTGGTGACTGGCTGTTTTGCAGAACATCCCCAAGGTTCATCCATGTCATAGCAGGTGTCCGCACTTCGTTCCTTGTTAAAGCTGAATAATCCTCCATTACCTGGATGCACCATTTTCTTTATTCCTTCATTCATCAATGGAGACGTGGGTTACTTCCACCTTTTGGCTATTGTCAATAATGCTGCAGCGATTCCCAGGCTGGCTGAGTAATTGATAGTCTACAAAACTGCTTGGCACAGCTGTCCCCAATCTATAGGGAGTGGTTGTGGGTTCACAGAAAACCCACAAGACTTTGGAGCCAAAATACATCTGGTTTCCAATGCTTGACTGGCCAGCTACAACTTTAGGCAAATTTAATCCTCCTGAACCTCATGCTGCCCATCACCGAAATGGGAATTACAGTATCCACACCACCTCCTACTGGTCGTTGTCCCAGCATCCACACCACCTCCTACATCCTAAGGGAATCTTGATTTCTTTTTTCAACTTTCTTCTGCTCCCAGGTGATCTCAAGGGGCTGAGATATCCATTGTTCCAGGGATGGGGCAAGCCCCGCCCCCTTTGCAATGATTGGTTCAGACGCTCAGGCTTCAGCCAATCGGTTGCTGGCAGTGCCTTAGCAACTGTGGCTAGTGTTAGGCCCTTGATCTGAGCTGCCCAATCAGGTAGAGGATGAGCTTTTTTTCCAACTTGGAGAAATGACGCTCCTCGGAGCTGGGAAATAAACACGAGTTTCTTCAGCTGCTGATGCTGCGCCATCCTCTAAACACGAGGGAAGGAGCATGAGAACGAACCCCAGGCACAGAGGAAAGGCAGCCATAAAAAGGTCAGAAAAACGGAGCTGGAGCCTGATTATCCTCCCTATCTTGGGGCACACTCACACTCACACACTCACTATGTTTGCGGACTGAGAATTAGAATATTCAAGCAAAACAGATCTCCTTAAATGGCAGTGACCTTACCTGAAATTTAACAGGCCTCAAAGAACTGAATTTACCAGTCTAAGGTCAACCAGGAAGGCTGTGTGCCTTCAAGTCCAACACTCAAAGACGCCGACCAATTCATCTGTCGCCTGTATGATGCTGCGTTCACACACATGGGTGCACAAGCTCCCCCGAACACACACGCACACACATGCACACGCGCACACCTGCACGCATGCATACACACAATCAGATTGAGAAATTAAACCTCAAAGTAATAGTGGGCCTCAATTATCCTTCATAGCTGTGAAACAGATGGCTTGTTAGCTAGTCACTGGAGTATTGCTTCAAATAGAGACTAGAGAAAAAGCAGCACATACAAAAGTTTCTGTGATCAGTATTACTGCTGATTGTGAAGTAAGACATCATTGGAAGTGCACCAAAAATGAAAAATGCAGGGACTGAACAGAGAAGCTGAGTGGAAGAGAAGCCAGGTAAAGAAGGAACACATATTTTTTTCAGCCCACAGCTTCATCCATTTTCAGTGAAGCAAGGATTTCCTTTAAAGTGAAGGGAGACTCCTAGACCTTTCTATTCCATTTCCAGGCATGACCAGACACCAAAACCATCACAGAGGAAGCTTGAAAAGAAAGACTTCATGAAGACTTCGGTCAAGACACAACCGGGGAACAGAAACATCTCAGCAGGTACAGGAGAAGGAATTTAATCCAGGGAGGAGATCGTGACCAGTGGAGGGTCAGAACAGCCACTGCAGTGTCAAACCACACACAGTGAATTATTCATTCAGATCTCATGACAAGGAAACTTGGTGTCTTTGTCCACCTGGGCTGCTGTAACAAAATGCCATCCACAGGGCGGCCCATTCACAACAGAAATTTATCTCTGACAGTTCTGGAGGCTGGGGTGTCCAAGATCAAGGCCCTTGCCACTTCAGTGTCTGGTGAAGGTCACTTCCTGATTCATAGATGGCACCTTCTCGAGAGTCTGCATGTGCTGGAAGGGGCAAGGGGCCTCTCTGGGACCTTTTTTTAAATTTTATTTTTATTTATTTAATTGTTTGAGACGGAGTTTCACTCTTGTTGCCCAGGCTGGAGTGCAATGGCACGGTCTCCACTCACTGCAACCTCTGCCTCCTGGGTTCAAGCGATTTTCTTGCCTCTGCCTCCCAAGTAGGGATTACAGGTGCCCGCCACCATGCCCGGCTCATTTCTGTATTTTTAGTAGAGGTGGGGTTTCATCATGTTGGTCAGGCTGGTCTAAAACTCCTGACCTCAGGTGATCCTCCTACATTGGCCTCCCAAAGTGCTGGGGTTACAGGCGCGAGCCACCGTTCCCAGCCTTGAGGCTCTTTTATAAGGGCGCTATTCCCATGCATGAGGGTTCCACACGAACCACTCACCTTCTGAAGACCTCACCTCTTGATAGCATCACATTGTGGGTGAGAATTTCAACATCCAAATTTGAGGGAGACACACACATTTGGACCACAGCACACAGTTGGGTCATAAAGCCAGGGTTCCGAGACAAGTCTGAGGTCATCAGCCAAGGGTGTGTGCATCGGACAACACTCAACTCGGGATTGGCACCCAGCCAGTGCCCTACACAATACAAGATGCCACCGTAGGGAGAGGGATGACCTCTAGCAAGGTGGCCCCTCAGTGGGCCAGACGGGGCTTCTGAAGAGAATTTCTCTAGCTTCTTGGTGTTTCCTGCCTGCTACTTTCAAACAAAGATCCCGGTTTTAATGTTCTCCCAGTAATATTTTATGAATGTTATTGCGAATGTAAAGGAAATTATATTTTTGCTCTTATCATTGTTCGCTGTATTCTCATGTATCATTTAACATTGAAAGGTAAGAAAACCAAGAGAAAGAGAGAGATTTGAATGTGGATTTAGATGCAGATATATAGAAATAGATACATAGTAGAAATAGAAAAGGGTTAGCTATGGAGAGAGATACACAGATGGAGATAGCAGACAGACAGTTGGACGGACAGACAGGTTTTTTTCTTAAGTAATAATAGGAACCAGAGGATCATCAGGAGGGGGAGGAAAAGTAAAAGATGAAAGCCCTGTCTAACATGACCACAAGTTCTCTAGTTTGCATTTGTTCCCTTGGTGAGCAGAAGGGTCTGTGTCCTCTCTCACTCACCGTGATGTCAGGAACCTATATCATCCCAGGGCACAAGACGGTGACGTTGGCCATCTGTGCCCTTCTCTGCCTTGTACCCCAGGCATGCCCCTCCTCTAGATCCCAGTTTCTCTTTCTGCCAAAAAGGAGGCAGACCTGGTGAGTAGCTAAAGTTTCTTCCAGCCTGAAGGTCCCTCGAAGATCTTCTCCTGTGCCCTCCCCATAGCCCTGGTCCACACTCTACTGGGATTTGCTGGGCTAGATTCTCAGAGGAGCTCAACATGGATCGAGTCCCTAGCTCCACGTTAGATCTTTGGGAAATTAGCTAAAGATCTCCTAGTAAGATGCTTGTAACTTACTACATAAGGTGAAATAGTGACTTTACAGTGCAAAAACTATAACCAAAGTATTACCACCAGCAGAGGGCTAATCAACATCAGAGGCCCCGTGATCGATATATATGATCAGGACGTCACATCCTGGTGTTCTTGCCCCAAGTCTTGATGTGAATCTGACCACAAGGACAATTCAGACAACCCGAAATGGTCAGACATTCTACAAATAAACATGAAATGTCATGAAAGACATGTCATGAAAACATTAATGTCATGAAAGACTCAGGAAGTTTTCCATTTAATGGAGACTAAAGAGATACAACAACTGAATGCCAGACATGATCTTGGATTTTCTTTTGGCTCAAACAGTGTTAGGATTGAAGAAATCTGAATGAGGTCTGTAGCTAATAGAATTGTGTCAATGCTACATCCTTGATTTTGCTCTTTGTACTGTGGTTACAGAACAGAATCCCTTTGTTTTCAGGAAATGCATGCAGCAGTATCTAATAGTAAAGGCATGTCTCATCTGCAACTTCCTCTGGTGTGTGTGTGTGTGTGTGTGTGTGAGAGAGAGAGAGAGATGCAACAAATACGCTAAATATTAATTTCGGGGACTCTGGGTGAAGGGTATCTTGGGATTTTTGTGCCCCTCTTCTGTACATCTGAAATTATGTCAAAAAATAAAAAAGGTGTGGCTCTGCAAGGGATACCCAGATACCCTTGCAGAAGAGAGAACTGATTCAAGAGATGAACCCAGGTGGGGAGCCACTATGGTGCCCACTGGGGAATGAGCCTGCAAATCCAGGAGAGGCTGCACCTGCAGCCCATCCCTCCAGGATGGTTCTCCCAGACCTGCTTCAAGTGTCATGGTTTAAATTCTCAGGCACCCCTCAGGCCATACTGACATTGATATTGGCTTTGGGCCAGGAGGAGCTAATGTGCCTTGCACATGACGACAGCTTGGAGAATGTAAAAATGCTGAGCTGTTATCACATCTAATAATGTGATACCTGCGAAGACGTAGCGTGTGCATGGAAGGGTGTAATGGAGTCCTACAGCCTTAAGCCACGATTTCGTGTGTGATACACAGTAGTCAAGGCTGAAATCTTTCTCCAGTGCGGCTGCTCCGTCCTCATTGAACACAAAGCAAGTTACACAATTCAGTTTTAGCAAACGTCTTGTGAGATGCACTAGCACGATGTTGAAGATCACGTGTGGGTGAAAAGAACAACCTCCACCCATACCAAGTGTTTTCAGTGCCAGGCCCTGCCTGAAACACAGCCATGATCTCCATTTGAGCCAAGAAACCCCCAACCACGGGGAGCCACAGAGCCCCCCCAGGGACTCTCTGGTATGGCAGTGCCAGGGTCTGAAGCTACTGAGGCTTTGCAGGCAATATCTCAAGACAGCTTGGTAGCTCCTTCCCAGCACGCCACACTGCCCTGTACACACCACTAGCTTCTGTCTACACTGCACTTGGCACTGAGTGCAATCCGATCAGATGCAGCATGAGATTGCTTTGTTCCATTTTCCCAAGGCCCACTCACAGGGCCCGCAGGTACCTGCAGGTACCTGCACGTTCCAGGTCCAGGTCCATCGTCGTTCAATCGAGCCACCACGAACTGAAACATCTGCATCTTTCAATCGCGTCCTCCAGTTTGCCCAGAGCCATCCGAGCACGGATTCAGAACCGGATCTTTGCGTCTCTCAACAAAGTACACACGGGACTGAAGCATCCAACTCAAGTGTGGTGTTTTAAATAAGGAGGAAGAACGTAAATTCACCCACTGACCTGTTTCCACAATCGTCAAAGTCACGTGGTTTTATCGGCATTGTCATTTCTGTGTCTAACTTAGCTCTTACGGGCTTAAAAAATAAGAATAACTGTTCAGGTATGCTTGAGAACCAAAGAAAGAGCACAACTACTGTTTTCCCACATTGTCAAACTCAAACAGCTGTGACAGATGAGCACCGCCTACTGAGGTCACAGTTCACCTTTCTGCACAAGAGCTGATGGCTTTGTTCTCTGTCTGGAAGGACTTTCCGTCTCCCCGTGCTTTGTGTCCTCTGGCCTCTTGGGCCCATCCTTTCACACCCAGCTCAAGGGCCATATTCAGCCTTCATCTTTGGAGGGATGCCCAGGGACAGATGTGTCCACGGGACCCCCAGTACACAGAGTGACCTTTGTCACCCCCAGCACACTCAGTGACTTTGTGTCAACACACAGAGGGGCTTACCCTTCAAAGGTGCCATGTCATTTCCCTGTGCTCTAACCTCCACGTGGAGTTCCCTCTTTCCTTACTGGCTGTGGCATTGCATGGGTATAAGTGATTGTATGTAAGACAGGTATAGGATTTGTCTTCTGATCATCCGTGGGTTTTATATTTCTGCCAAAAGTTATAAGTGAGCAATCTTATATATAATCTGCCAGCTCAAACGGACACAATGTAGGCACAGGCATCTTGTGTTGAGAGGCATGATGGGGCCATCCCTGGGGTCTGCAGGGAAGCAGGCAGCAACTGATGAGTGGCATTCGTCCTGGGACGAAGGAAGGCAAGAAGCAGCCAGTATTTCCTGTTCTTGGTACAATGTTACCCTGCCGCAAAGGTGGACAATCCCACGTTTAAACCTGAAACTGACTTGTTCCGGCCGCCAGCCACTCCCACATCCCCAAACCAGGGGGGTGACTTAAAGCAGTCAGTGACCTGCCAGAATCACTCGAGCTCTTGCTGAAATGCAGGTTCTGAATCAGGGCCTCCATGGCAGGGCCTGAGACTCTGCATTTATAACCAGCTCCCGGGCGATGTCTGAGGACTGTGCCTTGGGTAGTGAGGACCTAGAGTGAGTGAATGAAGAGAACTTACACAAGAGCCCAGCACATTCCTTTTTTTTTTTTTTTTTTTTTTTTGAGACGGAGTCTCGCTCTGTCACCCAGGCTGGAGTGCAGTGGCGCGATCTCGGCTCACTGCAAGCTCCGCCTCCCGGGTTCACGCCATTCTCCTGCCTCAGCCTCCCGAGTAGCTGGGACTACAGGCGCCGCCGCCACGCCCAGCTAATTTTTTATATTTTTAGTAGAGACAGGGTTTCACTGTGTTAGCCAGGATGGTCTTGATTTCCTGACCTCGTGATCCGCCCGCCTCGGCCTCCCAAAGTGCTGGGATTACAGGTGTGAGCCACCGCGCCCGGCCAGCCCAGCACATTCTAATGAGAAAGGTGACAT